CAAAAAAGCAGCCATCCGACCCCCGCGAGGAGCGGCAGCCAGGCCCCGCCGCGCCGCACGCTGCCGCTCTGAATACGCGCGGTGCTTTTGCCTCCCAACTTCTGCAGAGCCGGTGGCAGCTCAAGGCAAGGCGCCGGGATGCTCCGTCAAACACGTCCGAGCTGCTGAAGCGTCAATAAAGTCCGACTTTTATGGAGAGGTTAAAAACAACTCGCCTATTGCCAGCCAGAGCTTTTGCTCACAAGACATTGGATCAAGTAAAAAATACTTCTTTTAATACAGAGGCAGAAAACGGGATAGCTCTGATAACTTGTCGCTGTTTTTAAACCCTGCTGCTAAGTCATTTCACTGCAAGGAAGGTGGCTGCAAAATTATGTTTATTTGTCTCATTCTTTCAAGCTTTTCTTCTTCAGTTAAAGTACTGTCTTTCACTAATAACATACCGGTCCTTCCCCCTCCATTTTGATCTGTCTCTTTTGTTCTCCCTCCTTTCTGCAGGCTTTCACAGAGGTATTAGGCTGGACCAACAGATTCTGGTCAGACCACAGCCCCGGTAATTGCATTTTGCCCCCTCGGCTTCGCTGCTGCTCCCAGCGAGTTATTTCCCACCCACGTCCCTTCCCCACCTCAGCCCACCGCCAGAGCCACACCACTGCACGGGCAGGGCGCAGAGGTGGTTCCCACACACCTCGTGCCCTACCCCAGAGAGGATTCGTAACCCAGAGCAGCCAACCTTTGGAAAAGCTTGTCGTTATCAAGATGAAAAGTGGGATTGCAGCAGGACAGGTTCTGCGTCGCCTGTATCAACCCAGCTGGACGAGCGAGAAGAAACTTGCAGGGATTTGAACGATGGAGTTTGAGATGCTCCATCTCAAAACCTGATCAGCAGTTACCCAGAGCTGTCAGCTCTAGCACGTTCGGTCTGGGGAGAGGAGCACACCACAGACAGTTGTGACTGATAATGGATTTAATACAATCGGCCGGCATCGCCCAGAGCACCCGTTGCCCAAGACACCCCCGTGCCGTGGGTCAGCGTCGAGGCATGGCGAGGAACAGGGATCGTCTGGGGAAGGAGTTAAAACCACGAGCTCCCGTCAGTGACCTGTCGGGGTGTGTGACAGCCCCCAGTGACAGCACAGCAGCTGGTAAATGCCTTCACTCACACAGGTCTTCCTACAAGATCATTTTCTTTATTTTCATAATAAGAAAAGCAGCTTCTTGATTCTTTTATATGTGGCAAGCGAAATACTTTCCCAGCCCCATCCTTCGAGTCGATGGTTCCACTGATACTCAGTAAGGTGGATCTCTTTCAATAGCAGTAACAGCCTATTAGAAGATAGTCTACTTTTTATTTACCTAGCACATATGTATTCCCAGTTAGGAGCCTTGATCACAGCAAAACACCAGCACCAGGTCCCTTGCAGAGATTATGTGTAACAGGTACTTTATATGTTCAAGCTCAGAATGTGTCTCGACTTGTCTGGGTAAAACCAGAGATAGCAGCGCACCTCACTACGCTTTCATAAAACTTAAAACATTTGGTGCTTTGCGAAGTGCTTCAGAATGTAGTTAGTGATGGACTAATTAGCAAAGACTTTTTTCTAGCTGTCTTTACAAGCTGATCAGGTAATATTTGTATTATTTAAAATTAAAAACACAAGCACCCCCCCCCCAACCAAAAGTAGCTACTCCGCAACTTTTTAACTTACTTTCCTGTGTCTAGCAATTTCATAACATTAACTCAATCCTTTTCAGTGTAAACTAAACCCATCACTAAGGCCGCCACATTCCATTTCCCATCAAACTGAGCATCTTGCAGCTTTCAACATATTGTTAGAGTGGGCGAAGATTTTTAAAGCCTAGAGATATTCAACAATGATCACATAGTCTATAAAGTTGAAGCAGATAATAGAGATTTATTTTATTTTTTCTAAAAGTATCCAAGACTCTACTACTACCAGTTGTAGTTTTCTGAGGCCTTTGGCTGAGTAGAAATGTTCTTTGCCCTTCTCAAGCCAAAAGCATGATTGCAGGAAAGCAAATACCACATTTTATTTCACAGTCAGCTGAGGAACTCACATGCTGTTCTGTGTTTCCTGCAATATCTTCTCACTTAGAGCAGGGAAAATAAGATTTGTTAAAGTTACTTTTGTTAGCGGTCTGAAACTGATGAAGTGCATTTTCCGTATCATTTTTAACACTCTGAACTGCAAACTGCCTGTGCGGGAACGTAGGGGATAAGTACATTTACAGCACCTTACAGCTGCTGTTGGAAGCAGGATTCAGCCGTTGTGCTGGCCGCACGAGAGCGATACCCGCACACCTGCGCGCCCGGGCACGGAGCTGTCACGCAGCTCCCGGTGCCGATGCCGGACCGGCGTGCTGACCCTTGCAGGCAAAGCTGCTGCTGGATAACCACCACCGTATGCTTAAGTGACTGTGTAAGACCGGTATCTTCTTACCTTGTAAATTCATTCAGTGACTGCATTGACAGATAGTGTCCTTACTGTAACAAAGGCATTTTAGCTGGTTTACTACTACAGTCCCTCTACAGATGAGAATTTTTAAGAAGTATTTATGTGCCTTCAGAACACGATGCTTTGCTTTCCTTAGGCTTGCAGGCCTCATTTGCTAAAGCTCCTGGCAAATACAGCTGCTTCCATGTTAAATGAACAAAACAAAACCAAAAAAAAAAAAAGACAAGACAAAAAAAATAGGAAAGGCATGAAAAGAGGGGTAATACAAAAGCGTGTATTTTGCCCTTATCAGCTCCCAGTTCAACAGGGGGAAAACCAAGGA